AAAGAGCATTGATTGGCTCACTGGTCTGAGCCTTGCGAATTGATCAGATCATTTCCGGAAAATATCATTTTCAAGAAAATATTGAGAAGACCCTTGATTGGCTCACTGCTCTGAGCCTTGTGGACTGGACAGCAAATCATTTTCGGGAAATGTCGTTTTCGAGAAGTCATTGAAAAGAGCCCTGATTGGCCCCTTGCTCTCTGCCAAATGAAAACTAACGTTCCCTCTTTGGCGGCTTCCCCGCTCTTCTGATTGCGCGGAGGTGAGCTGATCCGAAGAGAACGGAAAGAGGATTGAACATTCCTGCGTGACACGGAGGGATCAATTCCGACCGAGATTACTATGAAATTTTCGCAAGGAAAAAGATCTAAAAATGGTCTGTGGTTAAGGACCAAGAGTGACCTTGCTGAATGGGATAACCCTGCTGGTCGCTGAGGACCTCGGAAGCGGGCGCGGCAAAGTGACAGGCGCCGTAGCCCATGGCTTCAGCAAACGGTAGGTAGCTCCTCCCCGGGTTTCCTCACACCGGGTACGTGCAGATCGCAGCAGAAGGGGAGAGCGGGCTGACAGGTGGGCCGTTTCGGGGCGTTGTCGAGTTGAAGGAAGTTGAGGTCGGGCGGCATCATATAGCATCGGGCGGGGTAGACGGGAAGCAGGTGAAGAAGAGGGGGAGATGCGAATGAACTCGGACGGGTTCCCTCGTCAGGTACATTCGGAGAAAGGGGTGGTTATGGCAGGCGCTAGAACTGCTATCACTCCGGATCCTCGACAGAGTTGGGCGGGGAAGAGTGGTAGGTAGGGTTTTTGTGTAGGGCGATTCTGATGGTGAGGTTAGTTTTGGGGTTGGAGTTGTTGTATAGGAGGTCAGTGAAGAAAGTCGCGCGCCAGGATATGGTGAAGACGGGGGAGAAGGGATGAAGACTGCTGATCTTGCCCATTCCTCGACGAAAACGGGCGGAGGTAGGCTTGAACCCGGGGGTTTTGGGGTGGGCGATCCCGATCATGCAGTCAGAGTTAGGAGAAGGTTAGTAGGAAGAGAGTTAGTTGGGGGCATGGTGCGCTGAGTCATGCCGGGAAGCTACGAAGGGGGCCGAGTGGGAAATGAATACTTCGCGCGTTCCTGAGTGAATTCCGGCACAGTAAAAATCGAATCTATAATTATAAGGCAGGGCGGAGTGAGGGGTAAGGTTAGTCTGATCGTAATTTAGTAGAATAGGAGGTTGGAAGAGATAGCAAAGTGCAGAAGATGGCGGACAGCAAGGGAGGAGGCGCGTGAAATGACGAGTTCGCTCGTCTCTTGACGAGATCGAGAAAAAAGGGGGTGTTTGTCAAGTGTTTTTTTGAGACGGGCGATTCTGACTCTGTGGCTAGTTTTAGAGTAGAGTTAGTAGTCCTAGTGCTACGGTCTGATTAGAACGAATAGAGTAGGTTGCGCGGAGCTACGGGGAAGGAGGAAGGGTAGTAACAGGAAGAATGTACCTACCCGGATTTCGGTAGGAAATTCATTCGATCCTTTGCTCGCTTCTTGTGACAGAGGGGGTACGAATCGAGGGGCTACCTTTGATTAATTGCCACCAGCGCAGACCAGTTGGGTAGTTTGTGGTCCGCGCACGCTGTTTAAAGTCCTCCTTCCTACACCGTGTTGAGCCAGTACGCACACTTGACCAAGGGATCAGCGAGGCAGCTGTCCACCTCGTAACGAAAGATTTATCCTGATTTTGCTCATAGTGACGAGGCACGACAGCGACACGACGACAGTGAGTGGCCAAATGGCGGATGGTTGGCGGAGCAATCGAAATGCACACCAGAAGGGAGTGTTAGTGGAGTAAACAGCGAGCGGGCTCTTACCGGGCACTGAAATGTAGAGCGGGCCGAGCGGGGTTGAAGGCCAAAGTGTGCCTTCCCGGATTCCCGAGGAAGACCCATTCTGGCTCCACGGGGGCTAACGGTTGGAACAGCGGAGGTGTGGGGCCAGCAGCGAGGTGGAGGATTGCCTGTCGGGCCACGGCGCTGACCGCCCTACCGAGGAGGCAAGTTGCGGACTGCAGGCTGGCCTGTTGGCCGGTGTGGTGCTCGGCCCCTTCGACCGATACAAGAAACAGGAGCTACGAGGCTGCAGGCCCAGTCTGTGGTCAGGGTGCCGATTCTCCTGCTGTGTGAGGTGGTTGTAGACAAGCCCCGGGTCGGCGAACTCACCTATGACCATTGGGCCTGTCGCCTCAAGCCGCAGAGTTCAGGGACTCGTATTAAGATTGGGGTGTTGCCTACCCTACCGGGCGGGGTAATAGGGAGGCAAGGCAACAATTGTGGAAGAAGTAAGCCTGTTGAAAAGGGGTCAATGCTGTGACTTAGAGGTTCGTCGGGAGGGGTTTGTTTCGGCAGTTTGACTTTGGTTGGAACGATGGTTGCAAGTTGGCCGCCATTGCGGGGCCCTCAGGCGCTGAAGATTTGAAGGCCCTCTCCAGCGAGTCTGAGCGCACCTCCCCTGGATCTGAGAGTCTGAAAACCTTCTCCTTCTGCCTCTCTTACTATAAGTCTAGTCCGCTGGTTCTGAGAGGAAGGCGGCAGGCGGCATTGCAACCCGTATGACCGCAGCAAGAGTCTGTGGGGAGTCATCCCACCGAGCTCTGGCGGGACTCAGGAGGAGTCTTGGAGGCAGGGAATTGAAAGGTAACCGTTGCTTTCCCTCTATATACCCTGGTATAACCCCTACCCGTACATCTCTCTATGGTTGGCTGAGTATATTGAGTTTGTCCCTACTTGGACTTTCGTTTGACTAGCAGAACAATACTCAGACTAAGTAAAGGAATGTGTGCACAATCTCAGTTTCAGTTTTTGTTGATTGTCTGAAGGCAGATTGTGAACACAAAGGGTTGCATCTGGGGGAAGGGTGGGTGAAAGGTGGTTTTGCTTGAGCCTGAATGGTTCTACAGGGTCAGACCTGTTCCATAAGATTGGACGACCTGACCTCTGTGTTTTATTCTTGAATTGCATGGAGAGTCAGACCAGTTCCATAAGATTGGACGGTCTGATTGCTCTGAAGTGTGAGGGTTTGACTGTGGCTAACTTTTCAGGGGTCAAACATGTACCATAAGATTGGAAGGTTTAGTTGCCATGTTTGGTTGGGGTTTGCTTTGTTTCTTTTGTTTTTGAT